TTCTGGGCTTCGCACTGGACCTCAAGCTGTGCTGGGCCCAATACCATCCCGACATTGGCCTATTGGGGGGATGTCAGAATTTGCCCAAATGTTGAGCTAGCGAGCTTTTTCACTAGCGTAGTTTTGCGATATGTTTATTAACGAGACGATGGTTGTTCAGATTAAATATGGTTTATTGTTGTAAACAGTATAAAAGGCGATACAGAGTCAAAGGGATAGCGAAAGGTTGGAGTAAGGTTGATGACGAGTCGGTTGTAGAGTTAGCTGGATTCAAGACGGTGTCATATTGTAGACACGGGGATCGCTACAAGACGGTGTCGGATTGAATAGCTCGATTCCAAGACGATGTGCAGTGGTTGCTAGATCTAGACAGAATCAAAGGGCAGGCGGGCCGAATTGCCCGTGACCTAATGCGAGCGAGACAGCGACAGATCGAGAGAGTGATAGCAAAGCAAAGGAAACAAAGTAAGGCACGAGATGAAGAGGCGAAAGAGAACGGCTGCATAGGCTGCTTCCGTGCGGGAGCATGAGTGCGTGCATGAGTTTTTAGGTAGATGACAATTTAGTACAGTGGGCAGTGCAAACAACGAACAATAATAAGGATTTACTCTACTGCTGCACCACTGGCTATAATCTATGCATTTGTACATTATTTGGCTGCGTAACCAAACAGTATTGTTCATTAAAATCTATGGATAAACGGTCAACTTGCAGCCGTTTGACCAAAACGACTCAAAACTAATTTTACCTGAAAAATACCGTCCGGTACGTTTTTGGTCCAATGCCAAAGGAACACGTTCAGGTACCAAAAATGCAACCCCTTTTCGTTTATTTGTTTCCAATTGGCAGTTGGGGCCGCAACCTTCCAAAAAGTTTTTTTGTCTATTTTTTCATATTTGAGGATTGGTTAACGAATTTTAACTCCACCGCCTCTCCATAAATTTTAGTGGGCAAACGACGCCAAACTAATGCACCTATACACAAAAAATAAAGAACACAGGATATATTTTTTCGAGTTTTTAAAGTCAAAATTTTTTAAAAACATACCCCAAAATATTATCATATTTGCATTTCAATGCTTTATATTTCCCAGACGGTAAGCTGAAATCACAAACTGCGCTTAACTTCTAGCTGTTTTAATTATCTTTTCAAAATAGCAAAGTTCTTTGCAACCAGACGTAAGATACTAGAGTTATGTGAAAAAAAGCAGCGGTACCTCTGCAAAAAGCTAAAAAAAAACCAGATTTCAAAAATTCTTAAAAAAAAAAGTTCTGCCATAGAAAAAAAAATATATATCATGTAACGAACCATGGTTCTAGCCATGGCTCGTCACAAACGGCGGAGGGTCAGCGCATCCACGCTGGCGGGAGACAATAGTCAAACTGATATACACAGAGCCAACGAACCACGGTTCTCCACAAATAGCGGTGTGTCAGCACCTCCGGAAAATAAAATAGTCTTAAGCAACTCTTGATCAGCGAAAAAACACAGCACGAAATTCTCGGTCACCCACTTCTTGGCGATGTTTCGCAACCACTCGGCCTCGAAACATCGACCCCAATTCAGATATCACCCACGCGATGCGGAGGTAGCAAAACCCCAATTCCCAACTGCAGCCTAACTAATAAGTCACCAAACTATACTGACCCACTACAAAATTGTCAACGAAGCACCCAGCTTCGACCCACTTACCACGCCCCACAATTATTGTCACCCAATAATCAAAAGTTAGCAATAAGCAATTATTTCCGGGTCTCAGTTGCGATCGCCAGCTGCATAAAAGGGCCAAGATCGGCCGAAAGAGCAGGCAGTCCCTCAGTCACACACCCAAGACACTGCACTAGGCAGTACATCAGAAAGAAAACAAAAGAGGCCAAGAACACAAGACACTGCACTAGGCAGTCACAAACGCAAAACACCACACTACGCAGTCTACCAGCGCACCATACAACTACAAGCCAGGGTAGCAACGTAAAAGAATTAAGTGAATGGAAAAATATTGAATAAAACCAAGAACCAACAGAAACAAAACTCTCGCATCATCATTTCTCGCTTGCCTACTGCATTTTCAAGCCAGCCCGACACCTGAAGTCACCTACAATTTAAAAATTTTCTTGTAGCGGACCCTGAACAGACTGATGCATACCTCAGCCTGAAATAGGACCTCACAATCATCAAACCATTTCTAAGCCCCAAATCTTTAAGAAAAAGTTGGTTTTGTTCCTTGAGGAAAACCCGTGTTGACTAGTGTAATCAAAAGCAACAAATATACTTACACAAATTCCAATTTTTTCCAAAAACAATTTTTCGTACAAAAAGGTATAAAACCAAAATCTATCATAAAATGTTCTGTTCTACAGAATGACACAAAATGAAATGAAGTAGGCGTTCAAACACACATTTTTAGAGCAAATTTCAGATTTTTTTTTTATTAATTTTTAATTTTTGTGGAACCTATTTATAGAAAAGTGAAAACTTTTGTAAAGAAAGAATGCCACATACTCTGGCTATCATTTAAAAAAAAACCGCATGCAATTTGGTGCACGCGTTGCGGAGAAAAGAAATGAAATAGGCGTTCAAACACACACTTTTGACCAAACTTAAGATTTTTTTGATTCATTTTTAAATTCTTGAGGAACCTATTTATAGAAAAGTACAAATTTGTTTGTGCAAACAAGCCCACATTCTCTGGCAATCATTTAAATAAAATGGCATGCAATTTGGTGAACGCGTTGCGAAGATAGCCGCTTACACACAGATTTTTTTTCTATAAATTTATAATATAGATCTATCATAATTTTGTTTTTTATAACTTTTTGTGGGAAAAATTGTTTTCTGAAAAAATTGCAATTTGTGTAAGTATATTTGGGTGATGTGGTTTTTAAAGTTAAATGTCTTTACAAGTTGTGGCTTCACACATCGCAATGAAAATAATCGTCTACGAACGTCAAGGTCACGTTTAAATCAACCGAACAATGATGCAAGAACAACTGCAAATTAACGTCGTGATATACAAAATCTACATGATGTTGCGTTCGAGTAAAAAAGTGTCACCGATTACGCTTCTCATAGGCTAATTATAATTGGTCCAATGAACAACCGTTGTCGCCATTGGTCAGGCATTCAAATTTAAAGGTGAAGCAGATGGGATTTACCGTGCGAGTGGTAAAGTGAAATTGCCTGAATTGGGCAGCCCACCACAACCATTGAGCACATTACTTAATGGATTGACACCTGAGTCTAATCATTTATTGAACAAAATACGAAAGTATAATTCGAGTTTTCAAATGACATCTTTTGGTGCCACAAATATCATAAAAGACAACTTCATGGCAACGTTAAAAGTAATGAAATAGTTTTATTTATGCAAATTGAATTTTTTTTCTCATTCTATCGTATATTTTAATTTACAACGAAGCATTGATCGCTAGCTCAATTAGGTATGACAGCGCCTTATCGTTAAATACACGACCTTTTTAACGAAGAACTGGAGCGTGAACAACAGTATAATCATGCCGAGATTAATGCGTTTGTGTAAAACAATGAGCCAAAGTTAAATATCAATCAAAGAACGGTTTACGACCAAATTTGGCGAGCTATCGAGAAACAACATGGTGGACTGTTCTTTTTGGATGCAGCTGGAGGTAGAATCGCTTTGGCTTTGGCTTCGTCTGGCATCGCTGCCACATTATTGGATGGTGGTCGCACGGCGCACTCTGCCCTAAAGTTGCCCTTTAATATGAAGGCTGACGATAATCCTACATGCAACATTTCAAAAAGATCTGCAATGGCGAGAGTGCTGCAGCAATGCTCTCTTATTGTATGGGATGAGTGTACTATGGCCAACAAGAAGTCACTGGAAGCACTTAATCGTAAGTTGAAAGATATTCGTGGAGATAATCGATTTTTTGGTGGTGCATTGATATTGTTAGCAGGTGATTTCAGACAAACATTGCCTGTAGTCAAACTAGGAACTTCTGCTGATGAAATTAATGCGTGTTTGAAAACATCTAATTTGTGGCGCTCTGTGAAAACACTTCGATTGACTACAAATGTACGTGTTCAATTGCAAAACGATGCTTCAGCAGATTTGTTTTCCAGACAACTGTTAGACACTGGTAATGGCATACTTCCCGTTGACAATTCTGGCTTCATAACGCTTCCAAATAATTTGTGTCATCGCAGGAATACTTGATTCAGAGCGTGTTTCCAAATATTGTACAAAATTATAGAAACCATGACTGGTTGAGGGAAAGAGCAATTTTGGCCGGAACAAATAAAGATGTCAATTAGATCAACGCATCTATTTTGAATTCCATCCCAGGAGAAATGGTTGCGTATAGGTCGGTTGATACAATTATCAATCAAGATGATGTTGTAAATTATCCAGTCGAATTCGTAAATTCATTGGACTTACCTGGATTGCTGCCATACTATTTACAAGTAAAAGTTGGAGCCACCATAATTATGCTGCGGAATCTTAGTCCACCACGACTTTGCAATGGTACAAGACTTGCTGTGAAAAAAGTTATGACTAATTTACTTGAAGCAACTATTTTCACTGGGAAATTTTGTGGTGAACACGTTTTAATTCCGATGATTCCGACTGACATGCCATTTGATTTCAAACGACTACAATTTCCGATTCGTCTTGCTTTTGCTATGACTATTAATAAATCACAAGGACAGTCGTTGCAAATTTGAGGTTTAAATTTGGAGCATCCGGTATTTTCACATGGTCAACTGTATGTAGCGTGCTCACGAGTAGACAAACCTTCGACATTAATTATTCATTGTACCGACGGCAAAACAAAGAATATTGTTTATCACAAAGCATTACAATAAATAAAATATGTCATTACATCAAAATTATCATTTTGTAATTTCGATGAATTCCTAAACATTAAATTCATTTAGTAAGCAGTGTTTTAAGAAGTTTTAAGGTGGCTTTCACATATGAAATTATCCGTGGAATTCCTTTAAATTTCATGAGTGAGAAAAGCTGACATGCCAATACAAATTTCATCTGGATTAGAACATTCCATGAGTGATTCACCGAATGAATCATGAGTAAGAAGTGAACTGCAGGGTGTGTAATCCTTTACGTGTTCTTGTGTGTCCTGTGTGCTTGTGAAATGGAGTCTGCATTTCACCAAATTGAATACGAGGGCGGATCAATAAGTCCGAGACTTTTTGAATTTCTCACCACTTAATTGATATGACAATAATTTTTTTTTTCAAAAGGCATCTATTAACTGATTTCTTTCAAAATTTGAAAAAGCTGCGCCAGTTTGTTTGTGTTTTACAGCCATTGATAGCAAGCTCTCTCGTGTTTTGAAGAAAAAATGGAAGAAATTAAAGTTCGTGCTCGCACTAAGCATAATTTTTTGCGAAAAAGCCACCACTGAAACCAAGGAAAAGCTTGGTACATACTATGGATACTAGGGATCTCTGCTTTATTGATTTCAATGGTGACAAAGTAGTTGACTGTATTTTGTTGTGCCAGTACAAGCACAAACCATAACGCACCCGAATAAATAAAACAATTCACGATATGGTGTTTGCCAATCGGAGATTGAATTTGCAAGATATTCTGGAAGCCATAGGCAACCACATGGCTAAGTGGTTTCAATTTTGAATGATCACTTGCGTATGAGAAGCTGCCGCGTTTGCTCACAATCGACCCCAAACGAACTTGTGAGACATCTTCGAAGGATTATTTAGTGTTTTTTAACTACAATAAGGACCGTTTCGTAAACGGTGGACCCACCAAAACACACCAAAAATCAAAGCAGTCGAAACAGTAGGTTCCTCAGGTTGATTCTAGAGAAAAGAGGGCAAAAGTTGGGTTTTCAGACCATAAAGTCATGGCGAACGTTTTTTGGAATGCTCGCGGTATTAACCACATTAATTACCTTCAGAAAGGGTAAAACAGACAAAGACGAATATTATGCCAACTTATTGGATCAATTTAATGAGGATTTAAAAAAGAAACGACAGCATTTGCCAAGAAAAAATCTTTTCCACCAGAACAATGAAAGGGCGCAGACATGTGCAGATTCCATTGTGAAAATCCATGAATTAGGCTACGAATTACTCCCTCACCCACCTTATTCTCTAGATTTAGTCCTTAGTGACTGTCGGGTTTCCCAGCCCGTTATTTAGTCGTAAATTCTTTAGATAATAATTTGTGGAGCAGCCAAACGTAAATCATCTTCATTGTCTATTATTTGCACAGTCCTCTGTACAAAACATTGTTAATTAGCCTATGTTTATGCACGGCAGCGGCAACTCTTTCATTTCTACCTCGCCTTCTTCGCTTTCTTGTTGTATTTTCAGCATCTAAGCTGTTCTCTCGCGTTCCATATGACGTTCTTGCTCGGCTTAGCATCTGCCCCGAGCTGCTCTCCTTATATCTCCTCTCCTTATAGTAGTTTGGCACGTCGGCCCATCTCGTAGTAGTTAGTCGAGAGATAATCTTCGTATCCATCGCATTGCTTTATTATATCGGGCATCATACTGACGCCTACTTTCCTTTAAAAATAAGAAATAAATTGTAAAACATTACCTTTTGAAACGCTCGACCTTTTTCTTAATAATAACTGAGTTTCAACGGCTATTAAAAACTCTTAATAGCCAAACAGTGACTATTTCTTGTGTGAAAAAATGGCTCGACGGAATGAGTCTTGATGAAAAGGTTTGTTCAATCGCCTCATATGCGCATTTCCTTTTTTTCTTTATCGCTTTCTATCCTGCACTCCGAAGCAAGTTGCGATACTGTGCGTTACAGCATTCGCAACCATATGAGAACAGTCGTGTCTCCCTGGTAGCGTTTCCCTTGTTTCCCTTCCTTGTCTCCCCTTTGCTAGGCGTCCGCCCTGCGTTACAGTACTCTGCCCTACGCATGTGAGTGACTGGAAACTTGTACCTGATTCTTCAATTTTCTGATGCCGTCTCCATACTGTGCGTTACAGTATTTCACCCTTGCATTTCAGCTTCCCTTCTTCAAACTTCTGTCGCCCCTACGCCTGTGAGTGACAAGGAGCTCCATATTCTTTTCAGATTCAGTTAGCTTATTTGTTCCATTTGTTATTTGTTCATTATTATTAGTATTTTATTTATTTTTTTTATATATATTTTTTTTTGTCTCTTCTCGTGCCCTCTATCTTTTCGTGTCGACTCTGTCTTTTCACTCTTCTGTGTATGCGCGTACCCCTTCGTATCACCAACCCATGATGCAATATATAAGGTGGTCTCGTCGGCTGCCGAATTGTTCCAGTTTCAGTACCTTAACGTTCAGTGCGCCCTCGCTTGTTGTAGGGAAAGGTTGGATGCGGACAAATTTTTTCGGAAGCCTTAACGCTTGTTCACAACAAAAATGACGTATTATAGTTTTTGCTGCAAGCACGTGCAACAAACAGTTTAGCATAACAAAAAATGTTAAACAAACAGTTAAACAGCTAAAATTGATTTAGATATAAAAACGTTATATTTTAAGATTATAATTTATTTTAGAATTAAGAGCCTTAACAAAAGAATATCTATCCAAAAACAAAAACATCGTTTAATTTTAAATTCAAAATTATTTAAAATTAAATTATAAAACAACATCAACTCTTTTATTATAACCGGCAACTTTAAACTCCATGGACCATCAGAGGGTTAATCCACACGCTCTCTTGTTGTTTCACTCACACTTACTGCGCTGAGCCCTTTCACTCGCACTTATTGTAAGTATTGTTAAGGGCCTGCTGCTGCCGACCACCTTATATAATTGCATCATGGGCCCGAACGCCATCACGATCGCTCGTACGTCCGCTCGATGGAATCGTAGCCGCTCGAGCCGTAACCGGTCGAACCACAGCTGTTCGAACCGCAACCGCTCGAAACGCAACCGGCCGAACCACGGCCGCTCCCCTATGGCAATTCTTTTGCAATAATTATGCTCACTTCGCCACAATTGATTAATATTACCAAACCTGTTCTGGCCACTGTGCCATATCATAGCTCCCCTTAATTCTTTCCTATTTCACTACTCACCATTGTTGTTTCACTCATTCTTTGTATTCGCACCGTTTGACATATTATTTATTTATTTTTATTTTTTTATTTTTTATTCTTATCTCCATTTCACACCACTCACACGTACATATATGTGTTTCTTTCAGATTTCTCGTCCGTATATTATTTACTCCGAAGTTCGAAGTACTTTCTTGACAAGAAAACAAAAAGGAAGCGTTTTGGTTGAAAAAGTAAAACTCAAAAGTAAGTGCAAGCTATCAGATTTTCAAAAAAAAATTTGTTATTGAACGACAGCCAAGACAATTGCCAAATTATAATCCATTCTTGCTTTATTGTTTGTAGTAGGATGAATTCCTCCCGTGAAGATCTTCCAAGATGAGCACCGCCAAAAGAAAGGTAGAAGGAATCGGGGTGTGTTTCGTTATATATATATGTTGGGGTATATTGGGCCCTTGGAAGTGGCGCGGCCGTTCGAGTTCGTGTGTCTTTTAATATATGTACGTAATATATGTCCCCTCCGAAGCGGGGAACCAAGCGTTCGGGAGTCGTGTGGATCGTGAGAGCGCTGTCGGAAAGCGCTAACAGTGCTGTAGACGGGAGCGGCTACATGCTGTTAGCGGCGCTGCTTCCTGAACATCATAATCATAATCAGGCAGGCTCCGGTTCAACATTCTTTTTTTTTTTACCTGACCAATTTTTTCAGATCTAATTTTTAGGTTGGTTTAAATAAACATTATTTATAAAAAGGACACAAGCTCAATTGCACTGGTAATGGTGTCAAATTTATTAAGTTATCTATTTTTTCCTTTTTGCAATTAAGATTTTTTTAGTTGTATAAAAAGCCGTTTACTTTTTATTTCGGCAAGGAATTTGTTGCCGTTTTGAAAACGTAAAATTCTTGCGTTTTACGAGTGCGGGATCACCTGATTTTTCGTTTTGAAAAGTAAATCACTTTTTTTTTTGTGAAAGTGAAAACCGGAGCCTGCCTGAATAACATAATAATAGCATAATTAGTACATAATAATAACATAATATACATAATAAACAGCTGTTTTTTAAGGGATGGTGGGCCAGTGTGGGTTTTATTCTAATGAAGCCGACATTGTTTGTTAAAATATTATTGTTCGGGCCAGCGGCTAATTAAGCGTGATTTATAATATTAAATGCAGAAGTACCTATTTGTATACGAGAATCTAAGCATAAACTTATAAAGTCTCCAGCGTTCGGCAGTGCTGCTGCGCTCTCCCTGTTAAAGGGCGCTCTGCACCTACCGCTACGGCTCTTGCTTTTAATCGGCCGTCGTTGCCTATGTTAGTTCTATGATAATCTATCGCCGCATAGTTGCATACCAATCCCTCTTGTGTACTTTTATCTGGCCGGGCAGAAGAGCGAGCCATCGGCTTCCGCTAGCCACCTGTATAATAAAACATTGTTATAACGTTTCGAATCGATTTGGAAATATATAGGTGCCAAAAAAGCTTGGCATCTCAAACATTAGTGACCCCAACGTGATTTAACTACAATTTTTAATCGCGTATCGATTAAAAATCGAACAAGATATTCGTTGCTGTGCTGTTAAACTACCAACAAATACAATTTGTGCAAATAAGAACAGTTAAAGTGCAAGTTCAGTGAGACTGCAGCCGTCTACTATTCCGTTGCTTAATCGCCGTATCTCCTTGCTCTGCGTGGCTGCATCGGCGGTTCTTGACTCTCAGTGTCTTCTATTCTCGCTCCCATGCTGTTCGCCGTCACTTAAGCGGTCTTACATTTGGCCTGGACAACGAGCCGGATACAAGCGCGGGCGGAAATATTGCGATGGAGGAAAAAGGTCAGAGGCTTTACATCCGTAAAGTTCAGTCTCTGAATGATCGGCTGCACCGTCTTGGCGAGTCATTCTTGGGGTATAAAATCGACAAACTTAGTGCGTCTGAAATAGATGTGCGCCTCGATATGTTGGCGGAAAAGCGTGGCGGAATTTCTATCATGAGTTGGAATCACTGGATGAAGACGAGATTGGAAGTGAGCTGCGTGAAACCTTCGATACGCTTTACATTTCGTTGAAAGCCGAGCTGGTGTCTGCTCTTGAATTAGGTCAATTACGCATAGCTTGCCCAACAGCTCTGGAGGTAATACCATCATCATGGCTCACAAACAGCGGTTTCCGGAGCTGAAGCTACCTAGCTTCTCCGGTGGCTATGTGGAATATGCGGATTTTATTGCCATGTTCAATTTGGTCATCGAGGGGATGCAGATCTCAGTGAAATCGAGAAGTTTCAAAATATTCGCTCATGTCTCTCAGATGCGGCCCTGGATTCGGTTCGATCATTGAAGCTCTCCAGTGCCAATTATCGTGTGGCTCTGGAAAAAATTAGCAAACGTTTTAATAATAAACGACTTGTTTTCCAGGCAAACATCAAGGAGATTCTTGGGCTTAAGAAGGCTCAAGATTCGCTTTCTGCTAAAAAGCTTCGGGAGTTTTCGGACGCAGTCAACTTGCATACGCGTGTCCTGCAGAGATTGGGAAGTGCTGAGGAGATATCGGGATGTATGATAATCCACATGCTGCTGCAAAAACTAGATGCGAAGACCCAAACCAACTGGGAAGAGACTGCGACATCAGACAGGATACCCACAGCTGGGGAGCTCTACGATTTCCTGGAGAAGCGTTGCCAGAAGATGGAGAACGTGCAACACGCTAGTAGCGCTCAGGTGGGAAAAAGCCAGTCTTCATCACATTTAAAGAAAACCTTTGTTGTCTCTTACTCTTCCGCCGACCGATCTGGATACCCTTTCTGCCATTCAGTGGGCCACGGAATATACTCGTGCAGCATCTTCACAAATTTATCTCCGTTTCTGCGTTACAAGAAGTGAAGATGCTTGCACTTTGTTTTAACTGCTTAAAATCGGGTCATCGGACTCGTGCATGTACTTGTGGACAGTGTAGAGTTTGCGGAAGGAGGCATCATACCTTATTGCACTTCGACTCATCCCTAGCGCAAAGCTCCCCAGCTGTTTCTCCTCCAGAACGAGCAGTACAACCAGGAGCTATTACGCCGTTTCAGGATTCTGTTAGCAGTGTGCCGTCTTATGCATCTACCTCTCTTGCTGCCCAAGGTCGCCACTCTGATGTTGTGCTGTTGTCTATAGCTGTTGTTTTGGTGAAGAATTGATCTGGCATTTTGGTTCCTTGTCGCGCCATTCTAGATTCAAGATCCCAGCTTCATCTCGTGACATCCAGGTTCACCAAGCGGCTTCAGCTTAGGAGAACTCAATCGTCTGCCCTTGTTTCAGGTCTGGGCGATACTAGGTTGTCCACTGAGGGATCCCCCGTGAGCATTTGCATGCAGTCTCGCACTTCGGACTATTCGACAACACTCATTGCTCTCATCGCCCCCATAATCACAGATAGCCAACCAAGTCTGGCAGTTAATGTCACCGATTGGAACATTCCCTCCAGTATTCAGCTTGCCGATCATGCATTCTTTAATCCTCAGCGAGTAGATCTCCTCATTGACGCGAGCATTTTCTATGACCTTCTCTGCGTAGGGCAAATCAAGCTCATAAGTGGATTGCCTCTTCTGCAGAAGACCCGTCTTGGGTGGATCGAATCTGGTGGTGGACAGAGGGTATCAAGCTCGTCGCTTTTGGCAACTCAAAATTCTACGGATTCGGAGGCTAGAATGAATGTAAGGTTGGATCAAACTCTTCGTATGTTTTGGGAAGTCGAGAATTGTTTGAGTGCAAAGGAAGAAGTAGATTGTGAGGCGCATTTCGAAAGCCACCTTTCACGTTTGCCATCAGGGTACTCCGTTCGACTGCCTTTAAAGCATGATGCTAATCGCTTGGGTTGGCGTATCTACGATTTCTCAGTTTGGAACGAAAACTGGATCGTAATCCCACGCTCAAGGAGCGTTACTCAGCTTTTATGAAAGAGTATACTGATTTGAAGTCCGAAGTCCATCCTCACTCACGTAGCCTCTGCAAGTATTTTCTGCCTCATCACTGCGTTTTAAAGGAGGAGAGTACCACGACAAAACTCCGTGTCGTTTTTGATGGCTCTGCAGCTACATCAACTCGATGCTCTTTAAATAATGTGATGATGACAGGTCCTGTTATTCAGCATGCATTGTTTAACATTGTTAATGTTAAGTTGGATTTATATTTCATGGTTCTTATCCTTGGGTACAATTGTTCTTATGTATAACGGAGAGCGAGAGTTCTCCCATGCATTATATGAAAAGAGTACCACCGCATTAGTATTAGTGCACGTGGTCTCTGCTTGAGTCTAATGGAAATACATGATTAGTATTGGGGCTTTTGAGAGGGCGACCCATCGCCTCAGTGTTAGGGCTTTTGGGTTTTGCCTGAGTTTGAGTAAATGCCTGATCAGCAGTTTTGGTAGCTGACCGATCGGCTCGATCTCTTTCGTAGTGACCAGACGTGTTTTTGTTTCGCGCTCCGCATTTTCCTTTTGTTTAACTTAAACAGCCGGTGTTTTTATCTAAAATTTAACTCTCTAACTAACTTACATTAAAATCATACTTTTACCGCGGGTGCATGCCTGATAATTGTGTAAAAACACAACTTATTTAATAAATTTTGTGCGTCGGTTAGTCGTGTGTTTGTGTTGTTGCTTTTGGTAAGTACGCCCTCTCATTACATTTAGCCGCTCTTTGTCGTAGTTTTTGCCGTCTATCACTCTCTCTATCACCTAACTCTCAATAACTGTTCTTTCGCTCTCGCTCTTGTAACTTTTTGTGCAGTAAAGCTCTCACCTATAAGCTGTTGCTGCAACCACTCTCCTCTCTCATCTTTTACCGATTTCGCTTTAAGCATTGCTCTAAGCATTTGCTCTGCACAGTGGTCTGATTGCTATTTGTTTTGAACTTTTTTTTCCCAAAGTAAAAAAAAATAAAAGACATAAATATGGAATTTTCTGTCGTCTGTGCCAAAAAAACCTGCAAGAGGCAGATCACCCATGACCAGCCCAATATCCCCTGCTGGCTTTGCGAAAGCGTAGTGCACGCAAAATGTGTAGGGATCTCGGGCCGTGTAGGAGACGCCATTTCCCAAAACAACGGCCTACATTATAGTTGTGAGGAATGCCGTGCTGTGGAAAACGACATGCGTTCGTTCATGAGGCAGACGCGGAGTGGCTTCAAAGAGCTGATCGTAGGCTTTAAACAGCAATATGATCGGCTCTTGGCCATGAACACTCAGTTCAGCAGTTTACAGCTGCTGGCTGAGTCTCCGAGGCGCAAGAGGTCTACTCCGCGGGACTTGCAAGTGCCGACTGCCTCATGTCCGCCGGCATCTGAAAAACTTACTCCGACCACTCCCTTAGTGCAGCAGTTGATTACGTTTGCTACTCCAAGTGAAACGATCGCTGCTGGTGATGCAGATTCGGGAGCCGAATGCGTCACCTCGGAGAGTATGCAGTTAGAAATGTCTGTAGAGTCCGTGTCCATCGAGTCCGCACCCAACCCCTTAACTATTCCCTCAGTTTCGCTCCCACCAGCTAATAGATGTCCAGGACCACCGGATACTGCCATCACAGGTACTAGGCCTGTGGTGCCAAAACCACTGGTGGGAGTCCCACCAAAGCGACAAGTTTTTGTCTCGCGGCTAGCCCCTGACCTTACATCCAATGATGTGACAGCTTTTATACAAAGCAAAATAAAAGCCGTCGGCTTAAAGGTGGAAAAATTTAACTTTTCTTACGCCAGGGAGATATCTTCCTTCAAGATAAGCGTCTCC